CATTGTACTATCCAACTTTTCTCTGAAAACTTTCGTAATAAAGGTGGATATATATATATAGTCTGTATTTTCCTTTTGAGCCTATGTGACTTTCAAGTTTTGTAATGAATATATTCTATGATTTAAATCAAAAAGGCAATAAAGTTATTAAAAATCTAAGTTGGCATGAGAAAGTGTTGCAGTGATTCCTGGGTCCAACATTTATGAAGTCCTCTGTGTCCTTGTTGCTAGGCTGTGACTTAGGAAGAATTCTCTTTCACTTGAGTCTCCATAGAATCAAGATAGCCAAGTTGCTCCCAGTAGATTAGTGGTTCGCTTAGAAGTTGTAGAAAACATTTGGTTCATAATAGGTGTTCCTGTTCCTGAAAATTGCCCATCGGTAGCAGGCGTCTGAAGGCATCTGGAGAGGACCTGCTCTGTGGCCAAGGAACATGGGCAAATTTAAGCTTCCTACTAGCCTTTTGTAATCTATAGAAAATCGAAACTTAAAAAGTCAAAGCAGGGAAGAAAGGATGATGGCAGATATTTCTAGTCATTGTGTCTTGGGGAGGTGGTAAAGGCCTCCCAGCATCTCCATTTTGACCATTTCCAGAAGGATATATTTAGAGAAGTATTTTTATAGACGCTTTCATACTGGGAATACATTATTTGCATTCTGCACACAGAGGGAAGTTTTTTTTTTTTGTCCCCTGCAACTAATTTAAAATAAATTCCAGCCAAGAGTTTTGAGAAATTTTTGAACTGCTCTCACTAAAAAAAATCAAGTTGGGGGCGCCTGGGTGGCGCAGTCGGTTAAGCGTCCGACTTCAGCCAGGTCACGATCTCGCGGTCCGGGAGTTCGAGCCCCGCGTCGGGCTCTGGGCTGATGATGGCTCAGAGCCTGGAGCCTGTTTCCGATTCTGTGTCTCCCTCTCTCTCTGCCCCTCCCCCGTTCATGCTCTGTCTCTCTCCGTCTCAAAAATAAATAAATGTTAAAAAAAATTAAAAAAAAAAAAAATCAAGTTGAACTACAGGATTATGATGATGCTGTGCAGTTTGATTATATTCTGAAGATACTATGTTATTCTGATAACATTTTGGGGAGTTTTGCTAATTGACTCAGCTTTAAACATTTTTAATCTTGCAACAAGTGATGACTTACATAGGCAAAGGCTCAGAAAAATTTTACTAGAATGTACAAATGCTCCAGGGTCCTCAGGCTTTTACTTTAGAAATCCACCAACGGGATTGCCTGGCTGGCTCAGTCAGTAGAGTATGCCACTCAATCTCAGGGTGGTGAGTTCAAGCCCAATATTGGGTGTAGAGCTTATTTTAAAAAACGGGTGCCTGGGTGGCTCAGTCAGTTGAGCATCTGACTGTTGATTTTGGCTCAGATCATGATCTGAACCTTGTGGGTTCAAGGCCAAAGTGGGGCTCCTCGTGAGCCTGCTTGGGATGCTCGCTTTCTTCCTTTCTGCCCCTGCTTGCCTGTGCACGCTGTCAGAAAAAAAAAAAAGATCCACCAACAATTCACTTTCTCAGGTCAATCTCAGAAAAATGTAGGCATTGTGTACAGTGTCATTCATTCTATAAACATGTATTGCATCCCTACTCTGTGCCGTGCCACACTGAGAAAACCTTGACAGCCTGTGTAGAAACCTTTGAAAGCAGTAAGACACTAAGGACTATTCACAGAAACTCAACTTCTTAGAGAAACTCAAGGTAGCAATAGGCGGTAGGATGGGGATCTGAGGACCCACATCTTCTGTGTTGTCCAGGTTCCCAATTGGTCCCAGCATCTGCTTCCAGCAGCACTGAGTCATGAACACCAACCTCAAGCTCAAAAATGTGATACCAAAAGCTGTTGGAATCAACATTCCCAAATGCTCCCCACCCCCTGCCCCATGGAACTGCAGACCTGCTGGGTATTTGTTTGCCACACACAAAGTTTGTGTATAAATGCCCTTTCCTGGGTGCAGGATAAGGTTTCAGGACAAGAAAGGGAAGGTCCTTCCAAGGAAGGACCAACTGCTCCCTGATGAAGGAAGGAAGGAAGAGGAAATTATCACATCCTAACCCTAATTCTTAGATTGGGGAACCAAGCCTGTCCATGGCTTTGACTCTTCTGTGCCTCTGAAGAGGCCAAAGGGGGGATACCAGGACCAGGGGAAATTGGTGGACTCAATCTGATAGAAAAAGCTGGGCCTCAAAGGAGGGGATGGAAAAATCCCTTTGGGGACAGCTCCCAGTACATGCCCTCCCAGTAGAGAACACACACCTTGGGTCTGGTGCTGTGCGTGGGAAGACTGGCCCTAGGAGCTGAGCTGGGAGAGGTACGATTGGGCTTCAAGTGAAAGATTTCCTGCTGCTCTCCCTAGGAAGTACTATTTCATAAGGGTAAAGACTGCTGCAACCTGGAGGAGGGAAAGAAGAGTGGATCCCAGCAACTCCTCCATGTGGAGTTTGGTTGTGTGCCGTCCCTCTTCCCTCAGAACCCAAGTTAGACAGCCACACTTGATTGGCATCTGAATGTGTCCCAAGACCGTGGGGAAAAAAACCTGACTTGTGTCTATAATTGGGGTCCAGACACTACAGACAGATAAGGGGATCTGATGGAAGCCAGATTACAAGGAGAGACAGGAGGAGGATCTTTTTGTTGTTTTTGTTTAAGGTTTATTTATTTTTGAAAGAGAGCACAAGCAAGGGTAGGGGCAAAGAGAGAGAGAGAGACAGACAGAATCTGAAGCAGGCTCCAGGGCTTGAAGCCACAAACTGGGAGATCATGACCTGAGCCAAAGTCGGATGCCTAACTGACTGAGCCATCCAGGTGCCCCAAGTTGAGCGACTTTGGCTCAGGTCATGATCTCATGATCTCGTGGTTTGTGAGTTCGAGCCCACATCAGGCTTGCGGCTGTCAGTGTAAAGCAGGCTTTGGATCCTGTCTGCCTCTCTCTGCCCCTCCCCTACTTGTGCTTTCTGAAAAATAAATAAACATTAAAATTTTTTTAAAAAAACATTTCTTGGAACATTACTGCATAGAGTATTTTTGTTTGTGTATGACGCCATTAATACCACCAAATTGCTCTTCCTGACAGGATGTGCCAACTGACACTCATACCAGTAAAATATATGCAACTTTCACCACGTCCATTTTTAAATAGTAATGTGGTCAGTGAAATGTGATACTTCATTGCTGATTTAATTTGCTTTTCTCAGAGTGTGGAGATCATTTTTCATGCAATGATATCCTCCAGATATTCGCTCCTCCAAACACTTGCATCCACGTGTACCTGCCCTCAACACCGTGAGCTTGGCTGGCGGTGGGTGGCCGGGTGGGTTGGATTTTTGCAAGACCTGAGAGGTGCTGGGGAAGAACTGCTGGGTAAGCCACTGCTCAAACGCCAACTGAGGAGAATGGCGCTCCTCATCAATGTTGAGGCCGGACACCCTGGTCAGTCTGCACCGACACAATTCCCCATTCAGGCTCCCTGCGCCCAGCGACACTGTGGGCACCTTCCTGAAATCCTCTGAGCAGGGAGTGCCTGCAAAAGTGAAAAGTCTTCCACTCAAGGTCGTTTTTCGTTTTCTGAATCCACCGGGTCTTGACAGATGATGGTTTGCTTTTCTTCTCCACAAGCTGTTTGAAATATACAAGGACAAGAACTCGGTAGCTTGTGCTTTGGGGAGACAAAGCACTAGTTAGCTCTCGTTCACTGCTCCTCCCTCCCAATGTGGTTCCTGAGGCTCCACTCCGTCCCAGTACCTGTGGCAGCGCAGGTGATTCCAGGAGCCTCCTTGGTGCCTCACCCGGGGCCCCTGAAGGCAGGTGCTGGAAAAAGGGAGTGTCCTCACAGCTCTTCGTGACTGCCTAGGGTGGCCACATCTGGGGCTCACTAGCCCACTGGATTAGCCTGAGGCCTGCTTCCGGCCTGGCCTGGCCTTGGGGGCCTGCGACCTGTCCCCAGCCAACCCTGGCTCCCAGCACTCGGCCCCTTCCCCACTAAGTAGTCGGCGGCTCCTGAAACCGATGCGCAGCTTGTTGGCTGGCTCCGGGACCTGCTGGGTGGGGGTCGAGGGGTCACTCGAGGTCCTGGGGGCGCATCTGCACGCGACGCAGTGCTCTCCTGGGTCCTGGGGCAGGCGCAGCGCTTCGGCCCTGGGCTGAACTAGTCCGGCCCAGCGCCTGAAAGTGTGGCGGCGCTGGTTAGTGAGATGGGAGGATGTGGGAACCGTTTGTCAACTGCTCGTATTTCTTATTCCGGCCGGGACTGGGGGAGCCGCCTCCAGCTCAGCCCGCGGGAATGTGGGACCTTTCCAGAGGCCCGACGGCCCCGGGCGCACCGCGGCGCCACAGCCGAGGCCAGCCCCCAGCTGCACGCCCCGGCGTCCAGGCCCAGCCTCCGCGCCCCTCCGAGCTCTCGGCGAAGCGCGGCCACCGCCGCGCCGCCGCCGCCGCCGCCACTCCCCCCACATTCCAGAGGCCGCAGCGCCGTCTCCTTCCTCGCATTCCTGCCCCCACAAAGGAGTCCCTCCGCCCCCCGCGCGGCGGCCGGGAGGAGGGGGCGCGGCCCGGCGCCTCCGAGCGCGCATTCCTCCGCCGCGCGCGCCACTCAGCGGAG